CCTTTACAGTTATTTTAATGTACAGCGCGAAACAAACGAAACTACCCTGCAATATCTCTTGACATATTGATTGGATCTTCGAGTTCTAAGGCTCAATATTAATGGCTTGAGAAGGTGATCCCAAATATGCTTAGTGCAGATGATACACTGCTCAAAATAATTAAAGGATATTGTAAGTCTTGCATAAAATAACGGTATAATATTTCTTTTGCATAAAATGGACGAAGAGTCACAAATTCAAATTCTTCTTATTTTCAAACTTCGCGATATGCAAATTTTGAGTTTGACGTCAAAGACAACGCTTTAGCAGCAGCGAATTTGATTTGGCTTTCAATTTAATATAAGACAAAAGGGGAAAAAAGAATAATCGACATTCAGTAAGTGCGTTGTTTGGATTAGTGTGATGCCTCAACAGAGTCATTTAACTGTATCAGAAACTTTGAGTGCTTGCGAGGCCTCTGTGTCGTCGCCACCCCTCACCTTTTTGGGGATCTTCTCAAAAATAAAACACAAAAACAAGACCACTTGGAATGTCCCCCCAAAGCACCAGTGCTCTCTGGCCCAAAGTTTTAATAGACAGGAACAAACTATTCTTGCCCGATTTCGAAGTGGTCACCTTAAATCAGAGGTCGCCAAAGTGGTCTATATAGACCCCCAGGGGTCTATTTAACATAAGCGGGGGTCGATCTGAGTCAGGGGGTCGATCCGAACCGGAAGGGTCGATTGGTCGAGGGATTATCAGTATTTTTCAGATATGTGGCAATTAGAAATAAAAGAAGACTTGGAAATATATACAGGTAATCTTCAAAAATTGAGCGACGATTTTAAACTGCGTTTTGTTGATTTGGAAAACATTGACATCCCTGATTGGATTATTGTGCCATTTTCTGCTCAAATTGAAAACGTGGACATCAACCTGCAAGATGAGCTTGCTGAACTATTATGGGGATTTGAGGCAAAGACGCTTTTTAAATATTTAACAATAAGCAAATTTCGGACAAATATAAATATAATGCAAAAATATGTAAAACTTTACGAAATACCTCAGCCATTTTATGCTAGCATTTCCAAGTTCCTATATGGTTGAAGCCGGTTTCAGTCACGTTAATTCAATCTTAACTAAGAACAGAAATAAATTAAATGTGGGGATTTAAGATTAAAATTGACCAATTTTGAACCCAATATAACGAATCTTGCAAGAAAAAAACACCAGGCACACCCATGTCATTGATTAAGAAGCAATAAATCCGTAGTTACTTTACTTATTATTTCTACTTACTTATAATTACTTATTATTTCATAAATATTAAGGTATTTATATTTCAACATTAATATATTTTTCATAAAACTATTGTTACACTATGTACTATTACTTTAATAAATGTTCAAAATCATAAAATAAATGTACAAACACAGTATCTAATAGAGTTTTATTTTAATTAACAGAAAATTACTTTTATGGGGGTCGATGGAGATTTCGAAAAATTATGTAGGGGTCGATGATCAAAAAAGTTTGGCAACCCCTGCCTTAAATCAATAAAATTTACGGAAGGATCCAAGAACTTTGAAATTTGTAACAACTGTTCTTCAGAGCAGGCTTCGCCTCACCCCATCCTCGCGTGCCTGGGGCTCACCAAGCAGGCTTTAGCAGATGATCCATTGACGGTGTTGGATTTTTTGAGGGTGTATAACGTCATGGACCTGGTCTACTGCTGGCCAATGGGAGCGTGCAACAACAACAACAGAAGCTCGGAGAGTTTTTGGGCGGTTCGGCGAAGCACAAGCTGAAATAGCAGAAACCATTGGAGTTTCAAAAAGTGTAATTTCAAGGATCTGGAACCGTTTTTTTGGAAACTGGAAATGCAGGCCGAGGATCGGGGAAAGGGCGTAGATGTGCAACAGCGCCCAATAAAGACCGTTATTTAACGATAACGACTTGGAGACACCGAAATATAAATGCCACTCTTCTTCAACAACACCTTCGCTGGCTACTGGCACCACATTTCGGACACAAACTGTCCGAAACCACCTTCAAGCTGTAGGTCTGAATGCTCATCGACCAATGGTGTGTGTCACGTTAACATCAAGTCACCGTCACGTCCGCATGAAGACGGCAACAGAGCATGTGAACTGGAGTAGAAATGAATGGAGCAATATTCTTTTCTCTGACAAGTCCCGTTTTTCCCTTCATCCTGATAATAGGCGTATTTTCATCTGGAAGGAACATGGCGTCTGCGTTCGTACACGAAAGTGTAAGATTAGGTGGTGGGACAGTGATGGTTTATGCTGACATCTCCATTGATGGGCTCACCGATCTCCATATCATTCGAAATGGAGCTCTAACCGGTCGTCGATATAGGGATGAGATCATGAGACCTATTACATGCTACAGCAATTAGGGATGACTTCATGTCAATGGACGACAATTGCAGGCCACATCGTGCTAACTTGGTGAATGATTTCATTTCGGAGGAAGAAATCATACGAGTGAATTGGTCAGCGTGTTCTCCAGACATGAACCCAATTGAGCATGTTCAGGACATTCTAGGCAGACGAGTTGCTAGACGCCTACCACTGACACAAACTTGCCAAAAACTGGAAAGAGCTCTTCTGGAGGAGTGAGACAGAATACCCCAGCCCCTTTTATTGGTTTTTCTCAAATGCGCAAATTGTGTTTTTTTTTTCTTTTGTTCCCAAATGCTCAATAAAACGCATTTTGTCTGTCAAACAAATTTCATTTTTATATCATAAAGCCTACTACGTCTGTCGATAATGTATCAATCATCGAAGCAATTTTCGAGAAGCGAGATCAGTCCCCAACCTCGATATCCTTTAATTATTTTGAGCAGTGCATTTTAAGTTACGGAAACAAACACAAAAACATAGTTTCTGTAAATAAACATTACCTTTTTTTCGACTGATTCTGACTTCTAACCTTTGAAATATAAAGGGTAGGTGTAATCTGGGAATAATAGTTTGGTCAGAACAGCGGTATAAAGTTTTAACCCCCAAATGTTAATTTTACTTTTCGCACATTTCGACATATGGAGAGAATTTTTTTTATTGGCATATTTGAGGTCACTCCTGCAAACCATTAAAATGGAGTGCAAGAACGTGAAGATCCGATTCGATCAAAAGTTATTCAAGGTTTTTCTGTTTTTCTTTTTTATGGGGAGGGGGAGAACTGTACATTAGATCGTCAGCACTGAAATGTTTATTATTAACGACTGAAATTTAGTCATTTTATTTTAAAAAAAAGTCACATAGAAATAATTTAAACCATTATTTCCTTTGATGTTAATGAATTCAAAACAAATTGATCACTTTCGAATGAAGGAAGAGTCACATGACCTCCTAAATTCTAAGTCTTAGTAGATGGTCGAAATTAAGGTCATTCTTAATTTGTGTAACTGTCTTTTGAAAGGATGAAATAAATTTGTCAATCATACTTCTATTCTCTGAAAATTATGTTTATACTTTTTGTGAAGCATCGGAGCGCCTTATGCAGTTTATTTTTTAGTTAAAACATTTGGTTTTCGCAATTATCTTAACGTATGTTATTTAGCAAAAGTAGCAGCTCCAAATCAGCACATTATTTTCTATGTATTTTTCACCTCTAAAGTATTATTTTAAAGGGTCTTTCGCGCATATATGATAATAAAAATAAAAGTTTGTACGTGTGTGCGTGCGTATCTCTCTTATAACTCCAGAACAATTTATCCTAAAATTTGGACAGTGGGTAAAAAAGACAATTTTAGTCGCAATCCTAAAAGATCATTCAAAAATTTTAATTCGCTCTTTAAGCAGAGATATTTATAAAATTAAATTTTCTCATTGGTTTAGAGCTATCGCCGATCTAAATGAAACAGGAGACGACTTTAAAGATAATGTCTGTGATGTTTGCTTGTTGATAGCTTCCATTAATTGAAAAAGGAATTTATCGCTCATTCTTAGATGCGTAATAAATTTTCTTCATTATGTCATATAAACTCAATGATCAACGTGAGCGCGGGAACGTGGGTGGACTACGTCAGCAAATTAGTATTTCTTTAGTAATATTAAACCACGTATTTATTTTTTAAAAACATAATTATGCTTTCAAAATGTATTTCTATAACACTAAATAATTTAAAATCAACCATATTTGAAATTTAAAAAAAACATGTTGCGAAAAGCAATCGTTTAGAAGGAAGGTAAAAAATCGCCTCTTACCTACCTAGTAAGCATGATGTCACAAAGGTTATAAAAGATGCACAAAAACATCCAATAATAGGAAACCAGGGAAACGAAATTTTGAATAGCACAAATGTATCACTGAAAAATAGGGTTTTTATTATGAGTAAAGGTAGTATAGTTTATAAACAAAACTCTGAATTTTAAATATATTTACAAAATTTTTAATCCTATAACATTGATTCATTAGTAATTTAATAAATTCCTTTTACTGACTATTGTCAAGCATGTATTGGTAAAATTGTGTGAATTTACTACAATTAGTTAAACTGAGGAGTAAGGAAAATGTGGAATTTTTTAATATAATTTAAAAAACTTTATTTTTAAAAAAAGTTTTCGATTTTTTGAAAATATATGTTTTGAACATGAGCAAAATAAGAATTGCTTGTATTGTTTTACTTGGATCAATTCTTGTTATATCAAGCCTTGTGATATAATCTCAACGTTTCATCTACAATTGCAGTAAGAAACTGCAATTCTATATGAAATGAAGTTCTTTGAGAAAATTCCTACATTTATTTCTAAAATTTTATATATTTATAATATTTCTTTAAGGCACATTAAAATAGAATGCAGTCTAAAATTTAAAAATAAGAAAAAAGTTTAATTCTACCCTATCGAACCTTACTTTATTGAATTTTTCGATGAAGTAAGTTTAAAAAAAGTAAAGTGTACATTTCCTTTATTAAATCTGCAAAAAAACTTTCAAATACGTATCTAACAGTTCTATAAAGAGCACTGTCCATAACAATTATAAATTAACATACTTGAGATCATTAGCATGAGATGCTGATGTGAACTCTGATGTAAAATTGTTTTTTACTTCACAGCAATCTGTCACATTTGAAATCCCTTCGAAAGAGGAGCAGTTGTTAGCTTTCAGCTCTAATGGAGGCTCAATGTAGCCGCTTATTAAGGATCCGAAACCAATAAAACAGGTTATGGGTAAGCTCAGCAATGTTCCAATTATTACACTCTGAAATAAAAGTAGAGTATGAGTTATGAGAAAAAGTTAAATAATATTAAGGTAAAGAGGAATGAATAATTTAACTGAGATTTCATATAATATTTTACTTAAACACTTCGTTAAAAGCTATACAAAATTCTTTAACGAAGATACACTAAAGGTTTTCTGTGAAGACGTCAATAAAAAAAAATTATTTTTATTTGAACAAGTACTTTTGTAACAAAAAAGAAAAATGCACAGACTTCAAATATTTTGGGAATAAGAGATAATGTTAGTTAATGTTCAAGAAAACCAAGTTTTAGCTAATTATCTCAAATTATTGTCAAATTTTATTCTAAATAAAGTGAGCCATCGTAAAGTTGGTGCAAAATTACTATTAAAATTTCATCTTACAAAGAAAGGACACCAAATAAAACATAAAATCGTCCAAACGAAAAATTTAACTTTTTTGTACAATTGGGTATAATATGAAAAAAACACAACTACTTCGATTTAGTAGGAACAACATATGACGCAATGCTAAACGAATGGAATTTAGTTGTTGTTTATTTAGTTATTGTTATTAGTAGTTGTTGTTATTTTTTTTAGTTGTTGTTGTTTATTTAGTTGTATTTAGTTTCAATAACTTTTCTTTATAATGCAATAAAATCTGGCGAGCAGCTATTTAAACGATCGAACACTTCGTTTGTTTATTTGTGGCTTGAAGTTAGGCTCGCAGAAAATGCCGTTCATGGGTTAAATTTAGTAGGAACAACACAACCTGTGACGTAGGCTATATTATACCCAATTTAGGTAATATGTTATTTTCCTTATTTTGAGAAAACTTGAGTGCTTAAATTATTCTTCAAAAAACAATTTATCTTGCTTTAAAAAAAAGAAGAAAAAAGAGAAAGTTAAACTTCGTAGCCTGCGACGTTAATTGTAGAAGAATCAGCAGTCGTAGAAAGATCACTAGTTCTATTCAACGACTCTTTTTCCGCTCGCTTCCGTGCTCTGTAATCACGGTAATATTGTGCATTTTTCCCTCGTGGAACTCTTGAGCCAGTGAAAGTGCTTGTGGTTGCCTCATCGTCTCGCCATGGAAAATGTATTTGTATTAATATGTGAATGCGCCATAATGTAATTTCAAAAGAGAAACAATCAATTGATATTCACAAGAGACATACCTTGACATAACCTTAAATCCATCGCATTGTCCGTGGGATTGTTTTCACTCATTTTTTACAATTGTTATCCGCTAACTTTGAAAATAAAAAATACTACCCTATTAAATTATATGTGTATCAAATCAAACTAAAAGAATATTTATAGAATATTCATATTGTTTCTTTTTTTATTATTCT